CCCAGAGAAGTTGGGACAGGCCTGAGTTATCAAGAACTTCTGGAAAGCATGTTAATGTCAGACTCCCTTGGGCATCTATTCTGACAATTAGATCTCCAGGGTTTTCAGATCCGAGACTCTCCCTGGATCTCCTATACTGAACTGTTTCCAAGTGATATGGATTTATTTCAACAAACAAAAAAGACACCAGCAATAAACTTAGCAGTATCTTTGGAAATGTGAAGCTCCCAAGAAGTTCCAAGGAGACAAAGCAATCCAATCACTCACTGGAAAAGAGGAGAAATATTGTAAAGCTGTTTAAGGCGGTATATGGTTAAGTATCCAAAAAATGCCCTTGAGGTGAGTGCAAAATGCATCTCCGACTGTTGTCTTTCGGGATCTCTGAGGATACAAAAGGGAAGGTGAACCTTAAAATTACAGAGGCCCACTCCACCCTGGAAAAGTAAAGGAGCAAGAGACCACCAGCTAATTTGCTGTCATGTCCAGAGGAAGGACAAAGACATGAACCAGCGTTGGGGATGGGAATGATGGCATCTAAGAATTGTCAAGGAATGGCATGGGGAAGTGGTACCAAGAAATTCACATTAACATCTTGCTTCAAAGAGGATTAAATTTCGTGTGTGTGTGTGTGTGTGTGTGTGTGTGTGTGTGTGTGTGTGTTGGTCAGGGAGAGGAGGCTTGAATGTCATAAGTGCTGCCTCCTCCAGAGTGGAGAAGATGAACACCATTCTAGGTCTACGAGTGAAGACTGTAGCGCTCTGCTTGAAACGTGGTCTCTGAAGCCACAAGGAACTGGGATCAAAACCTGGCTCTGCCCTTCACAAGCAGTGTGACATTGGGCAGGCTGTTTCTTTTCTTTTCTTTCTTTTCTTTTTTTTTTTTTTTTTTAACAGATAGTTTATTGTCAAGTTGGTTGTTATATGGGCAGGCTGTTTCAACCTCCATGACAGTCAGTCTCCTCAACTGAGGGTGGAACATAATAGCACCTTCTTAGAGTTGGGATGAAAGCTTACTGAACTGACCCATAGAAAGAGATTGTGCATAGTAAGCACTCAGTAAATAAGCACAGCCCAGGGTAAGGTAGTTAAGTGAGTAGTCTGTGTAAAAAGGGGGCTTTGGCTTATGTAAATGGGGTGTTAGAGGAGAGAAAGTAGTTTCAAGCATGGATCCAGAAGGTTAACAATACCATCAAGTCCCCTCTGTCTTTGTCTCTTTGTTTCTCTCTACCTCTACCTCTGTCTGTCTGTCTCTCTCCTTCTCTCCTTTCTCCCCACTCTCCCTCTTCATCTTCTCTGACTTCTGGTGTGGACCACCTTATCGGGCACACTTTCTATACATAGTAGTGAAGGTGTTCTCTGTCACCTCCAGGAATATCTAGTCCATAGTGACACCATTTTTTAAAGTTTTCCTTTTATCACAGTTTTATCACATGCACCCAGTTTCAAGGATCAAATAGTTATTTTTATTAATGTTTATTTTTTCTTAAGAAGGGAGAGTGAGAGAGAGAGAGAGAGAGAGAGAGAGAGAGAGAGAAGCAGGCTCTGCACTGACAACAGAGAGACTGATAGACTGATGCAAGGCTCTAACTCACAAACCATGAGATCGCAACCTGAGCCAAAGTCAAACGTTCAACCAACTGAACCACTCAGGTGTCCCCAAGGATAATAGTTATAAGGGGCACTTCTATGAAAGCAGTACTTTGTACCTCTTGTTCCATTGCCTGTCTGAGTCATCGCTCTCAAACTTTCTGGCTGGTTGCTTTCTATTTATCTCTCAGTAACATGACTGATTTTGATGTTTTACTTTTGAGCATTATAGTTTGAATTCCCTATCCAAGTTAACCAATTCACCCCACTACAGAAATATACCGTTTCCAGCACCTAGCTCCCAAGTCAGGTAAATTACTCTTTGGTTAGATCATTATTCAATAGTTACATTATTGTAACTATGCAAGTGATACTTCCCCAACAAGAAGTAGTTAACTGTGACTACTTTTGTTTCTTACATCACTTTGTTTTCATTGGAACAAATACTTTTTTTTTCTATACTTTTTATTTCTTTTCCTTTTTCTTTACTTTTTTGTAGATTTGTCACTAAGTCAATCCCAAATTCCTCCGTTGCTTGGCTCTTCTCTCAAGACATGCAGATATTCTATGGCTTTCATCTTCTTAAGAAATCTCTCCCAGAATCTTCTAGCACACACCAATATGGACTGTGTGCCCTTCAAGCCTGGTGTGCAGCTCTCACTGGAGATATGTTCTTACCATCATCCTCGGAATTTTCTTCCTTTGTCTCCTGTATTGATCTCCTGTCACATGTATTGCTCATATTTTCTTCTTTATAGGTGCATATACTTATTTTTGGTAGAGATATCCTGCAGTGTTTCCTGACAAAGAGTGTGGGGGATGTATAATTTGAAGATCTTGGAAATGTCTATTACAGTCTTCCACTGAAGGGATAGTTTGGTTGGGTATAAATTCTAGATTGGCTATCATTTTTCTCCAGAATTTTGAAGGCATTGCTCTATTTTCTTCCAAGCTCTTAGTGTTATTTTTGAGAATTTCGAAGTACTTCTTGCATCTGAATCTTTGTAGGTAATTTGAAATTTATAGAATGCAAATTATTAGAATTTTATGATGATGTATCTTGGTATGGTTTGAATTTATCCACAGTGCCAGACACTTGATGAGTCTTTCTTTCCTGAAAGTCAATATCTTCTGGTAGGGGAACTGTTCTTGAATTTCTTTATTGATGATTCTCTCTCCTGTCGGTTTTTTATTTCTTTGTTTGTTCTCTTTTCTAGAATTTCTATTATTTATATATTAGAACTGCTGGATGGGTACTCTTCCTTAATTATCCTAATTTTTCTCCTTAATCTTTTTTTCTGTGATGTCTGGGAGATTTATGCAACCCAATCTTTCAATCCTTCTACTGAGTTTTTTTTTATAGTTTTAATTTTCATGAGCTCCGTTTTGCCCTCTAAATAATTTGCTTTATATAGCTTTCTCTTCTTATTTTATTGATACAATATCTTCTCTTCTCTCTGGGATAATACTAGTTTTATTTGTTTATTTTTAAAAGTTTTCTTCTCTTGTTTTCTCTCCTGTTTCCTTCAAGTTACTTTTACTTCTTGTTTGTTGGTTTCTTTCTTTCAGGGTAAACACTGTTGCTACAGACTTCTTTCCCATTTTCTTTGTTCTTACCAGTTCTGCCTTTATAAGTATCTACTCATTTCAGTTTCATCTCTGAGTCATCTATTTGTATTAAGAGTGAGGGGTTAAAATATCCATAAATGTTTTGTGTGTGTTATTGAGTATTGTCAGTCTTGGATGTTAGTGGACTTCACTTGGCTGGACTGTTGTTAGGAAGGGGTGCTGATGTCTGTACTTCTAGGCTTGTCATCATGAGCTGGGCAATTCCCCAGAGAAGGGCCTTCCATTCACTTACCTTGAGCGTAAAGACACATCTAACCCTGTGAGGAGCTGTGCCAAGAAGAAACCCTTGGGTCTCAACACTGAGTATAACACTTGTTCAACCTTTGTTTTAAGAAGTGCCCCCTAACACCACTACACCTGGTTCCTTCGTTCAGCAGGCACTCTGCTTTCCCGTTTCCTTAGAATATGCCTATAGTTCTCTCCCAGAGCAGAAGTTATCTGGACATGGGAATTGGGAGGAGATGTGCGATTGAACTGATTCTTAAACATCCAGCTGACCCTCTTTCTTTGAGTCCTGCCTTCGCCACATCTGAAACAACTGGTTCCATGAATGCTTGAGTCTGTGGAGGGTCTTCTACTAAACTATTTTAATAAAAACTTTTCTCAGATCTACTAATCAATTGCTCATCACTCAACAAAACACCACTGCGGTCATCTTCTCTCCCATTCCTTTAGTTCTTATGTGTTTATTTTAGCTGGGTTTGAAGAGATACCGAAAGGAAATGTGCATGTTCAGTTTTTCATGTTCTTAAAGCTCTTTAGCTCCCGACCTCCATGTGATATCCCCCAAAGACTATGATAAACATGTTGGATTGTATGTCCCTCCCAACTTGGCACTAATCCCTGTGATCTTTGTGCTCTTGAGGTTCTGGGTCACCTGCTTTTCCTTGTGGCAGGTGAAGGGCTACTCTATGATCGACAACTACATGAGAATCATACTGATCGGCAGTTCCCTAAAGAAAGGGATGCAGCACTGACAAATAGGTAACAAATGTCCCAGACACAGGGTGGCTTTGTCCTCCAAAAGGTGCTGATCTTGAAGAAGCAAGGATTTCCCTCAGTTGCTTTGTATTCAAAAACTGTTGGCTCCATCTCAGAAACACTAGTTATCCAAGCAGAAAGCACCTCCCTTGATGTCTTTCTCCATTGTAAGCCTCAGCAACATCTGTTCACACTTAGCGCTCCTGAGTCAATTTATTAATGTGGATGCCCACTGTGTGCAAGGATAGCAAAGGCTTCTTAAAGACATTATATGCCCTTGAGAGAGGAAGGAGGCCATGGCAGGCAGTTCTTCCAGAGCGCTGTGCCTGGAGCTCTGAGTATGTGCATGGAAAGGGGGTAGGTACAATGCCTTTCCTTTATTTGACTAGTAGCAAAGGGAGGTAATACTTATTTCCCTACTTTCTCACCTCTGAAGTCCTAAAGGAAGGAAATCCATTGTGGAAAACTTAATCTGTGTGCTTTGTGAGAGTCGATGTTCTTTATTCTTGTAAGGGCTTTTGCTTTAGTCTCTGAAACTAGATGCCTGAGACCTTCAAAGAGATAATGCCATCCTTCGGAAGTGTTAAACTTTAAGTTAAACAAACTTGTGGCTTCTTCTGAGATCTCTAGGTCTGTGTCACAATGACGCAGTTTAGAAGACAATGCTTTTGAAGGACATTTTTAATGGCAAACTTTAAATGAAGTCAGTCCTTGGTAGCTCCGTGACAATGCTTGTGCATTACTGTCCTTTTCCGACTTAACAAGAACAAAAAAAGAACCAATTAGTCACATATGAGGGACGTAATGACATTTTTACTCCTGAACCTTTCTGGTATAAAAGGGTCACCCAAGGAAGATCTGACAGTAAGTGTGAGGAATTTGGCAATAAAACCACCGATCTGCGGAGCTTTTGGAATGCCCAAAATGATTAGGTAAAAGACTGCTTTTCTCCACAAAGAAAAATATTGAATTTGTGTATGCTTTTAAATTTATACTTGCTTAAATGAAACTAATCTTAAGGTTTTTCCCCCCTATCTACAGCTCATTAAAATTCAGCCTTACTCTACTTCTCTTGATTTCTACAACGCAAGTGTTCTGGTGTTACCCAGTTCCACCTTCTAAGGTAAGAGTTTTGCCTCTATTTTTGATGCTTGGCTTATAAGTGTTTAAATTTGAAAATAATCTCAAGGAATATGTGACAGAAAAGTAATTTCTCATTAGTAGAGCTTTCAATGAAAAAAATATAAGTAGAGTCATGAAATTAGTAAAAAGAAGCATTTACGTGACAATAAATAGTGCTGGACTTACTCATATTTGTTTTGAATTATTTAGGAGTTGGGTCCTGCATAGAAAAGCACTAATTTCAACGCAAAATGTACATAGTGTTGCCCACAAAAATTTATTTATTCCACATGTGTTCACTGACTGTCAAAGTGAACATTTAACCATTGAAACTATATTACAAATACAATGGATCATTTTTTTAAAATAGTGAATTTACTAATTTTACAAAAAATGGTAACTTTTTCAGATACAGAACATAGATAATGCATCGGATCTAAATGAAATATCATATAAAATATTAATTTATATGTCTACTCAAGAATATTGATTTAGCTTCCAATTTTAATCATTGAACAGTTCAAAACCTTCAGAAAATGAACATCTTTGGGCTTTGAATGCTATTTTGACATATTTCAGTTGTTTTAATGTCAATACATTGTTTAAAATTTTAAATAATTATTTTGTTGCCTATAACATTTTGTATTCACTGAAACTTAACCTGGCATACTATAATTACCGAGTCAATGCAATTCATGAAACTATTTTTAGGATAATTAGATGCTACATAAATCCTAAATAATAGATATATGTTCAAACGTAATGGTCTAGCTGTTTATATTATTGGGCTTCTCACTAATCTTTGCATCTGTCATTTTTCTATTTCTGGTTTACTAAAGCTAGCTTCTTTCCTGATTTAGTCCTATGAGCATTCAACACTAATTGAGTCATTGATTCTATAAGACACCAACCATATTGATCAAGTTGATGAGTCACAACCCATAAATTGGTATATGTTCTCAAGTGTCTTCCTAATTACTTTTTATTCTTTTCCCCAAGGTTTGTTCATGACATTTCTGTTGAACAAGAGGCATTTGTATGTGGCTTTTTTTTAAAATTAAGAATGTACTTTCTTCTAATGTACTTACAAATCTGCTTGTCCATAAATGAAATGTTTCTTTGTTTTCCATGTTTCTATTTTTGTGACAATTCCGTTCTCATTATAACTCCATCATGTAGGAATGGTACCAATTTGACTGTTTAAAATGAGTAACCACACAGAGTAATAATATATAGGCTTGTAATATTTGTTGTGAACTTCTTAAAGTCCATGAACTAAGCAAATATGCCATTATTCTGTTAATAAGCAGGCTCTGGCAAGGACTCCCTTCAATGATCAGCAACGTATATTAGTATCACTTTAGGGATGTTTTCAGGATCCCATAACCAGAATGGATGCATTTCTTTTTCAATATAAAGGTGGCATCATGAATATTTCTGCAAAAAATTGGAATGCTTCTTTTTCTGAAATGATTCATAGGCCCCTCCTTGCTAGGAATTTAAAATAGATGGTATTATATTGTGCTTAGATTTCCTCCATTAACACAGGGGAAAACATATAGTGGGCATTCAAATAAGAGTTTTTGATTGGTTTTCTGATGGTCAATATTTCTGAAACCCTGTCGGATTATTTCTGGGTCCAAAAAAGAAAAAAAAAATGCCCATCTTTTTTCCAGAGGTCAATGGGAATGGTTTGCCTGAGAGCACTGACTGCTGGAACCTTCAGTAGCTCACCAAGTCATAGATGAAGATCCCAGAGAGCATATCTTTCACTCTGTCCCCATTTCAACTTCTAAAGTAACATGAAACCACGCTTGTTTTCCTGCACTAGGAAGAGAAAATGTGTAATTTTCACTTTGTAGTATGTTTCTTTCTTTATAATAAAACCGCTCAGCCCCCCTTCCCTATTTATTTTTTTAAAAATGTTTATTTGAGAGAGAAAGAGAGAGCACAATTGGGAGAGAGGCAGAGAAAGAGAGAGAGAGCAGGGGAAGGACAGAGAGAGAGGGAGAGAGAGAGAATCCCAGCAGGCTGTATGCTGTTAGCAAGAGCCTGTGCTGTTAGCACAGGGCTTGACTTCACAAACCATGAGTTCATGACCTGAGTCAAAATCAAGAGTTGGATGCTCAACTGACTGAGCCACCCAGGCGCCCCGGCGCCCTTTTCCTCTTATTGCACCTGTGTGGTTGAGAAACATGGACTTGGAACCAAATGCTTCCTCTCAAATCCCTGCTTCACCTACAAGTCATTTAATCTCCTCATTTAAAACTGAGAAATAATAATACCTACTTCATACATAGAGCTTTCGGATGGGGATAAAATGAGATGAAGCACAGAAAGCATTTACCACGAGGAAGATCACTGATAAATCTTTACTCCATTTATTGATGGAATTTGCAGTTGTGACTCATCAAGGTTGTACTTCCTCTGAAAATCCCTCTTTTGTGATTGACAAGTGTTGAAAATTCTTATTTGATCCCTGGGTCAGGCCTGCCTCCTGGAATTTCCAGCCCTGTTTCTTGGGACATCCCCCTTTGCTCTTTACTTGGTTTCTTCAAGAAAGAGTGAGGTTGATCCGATTCTTGATGGCCAATTTGAGCTTTAAGTTTCCAGATGTATATTTCTTTCAAGACTAAGTGCCCTCTATACTATCCAGGTCTTTGAGACATGGATGAGAGCCTGAGCCAAAGTCAAAAGATGTAGATGCCATTGTTCAAGTAGCAAGATATCCTTATGGGGAGCCGTTGCAAATGGCCCAGGACAAATCCCAGAATGAAAGTGTTTCCTAATGAAACCTGAAGTTTGGTTATCATGGGCCGTTTTTCTTAGTGAATTTAAAAAACTTCCCAGGACCCATTAGTGCCAAGTGAAAGATGCTTTATAAAGTAATGGCAACCAGATAACTATATATGGTGTATGATGCAAGGACTGGAGAACAGCAATGACATAAGTAGTATAAAAGTTAGACAAGAGCTCTGAATAATATTTTGTATTTAGATAAAGTGTATATTGTGCTCTGGCAAAACTTCCCTCTTAGAAAGGTTGAAGACATTGGATTTATTGCCTTAAGGTTTTCAAAATTATTACTATTGAAATAAACTTTTAACCCTACAGCTGTATTCTCTCCCTCCTCCCCAATCTGAATTACCAGGTATCTGGAAAATCTGATTACTTTCTCATCCTGCTGAACAGCTGCGCAACCAGGATGGACAGGAGCGAGGGACCAGATTTTCTAAAGCCAATTTTGGAGAAGACGTCTATGAAAAGGTCCTTTCGCAACGGGGTTGGAACAGGGATGAAAAAAACTTCCTTTCGAAGAGCAAAGTCATGAACAAGTGTGCAAAGGACTCTGGGAATTAATCTCACACTTTGTAGAGTATGACTAATGTGCTAAAAGTCAGTTGTATCTTTATCATTAAGTGTTGGTGTGTTCTCAATTCTTAAATATCGTTTCTCTCTGAGCTGGTGCAGAGTAAACTGAGTTTGAAAAAAATGTAAATATGCCTCAAACTTCCACAGCAAGAAAATAAACTATTTATGTGATCAGTTAGCAACTTCCCTGCCTAAGGATTGACACATTTGCTTTGATCTTAAATTGCCCAGAAAGTATGAGCATTTTTACTGATATGACAATGGTACGATTTCTTTCCTACCCATAATACTGTATGTCATAATACTGACTTTTTTTCTTTTAAACGTGGCTTTCTGAAATGACTCAGCAGGACCAATTCTTCTGGGATGTGCTATGTCAGTTTCTTAGAGAGTCTTGCAATGTTACTCAAAGTTAAGATTCATGTTACCACTGTATTTTCCTCAATCAATTGATTGATACCAGAAACAAATGTCACCTGTGTCCTCTGAGCATAACTCTTGCTCTTCTTTCCATCAAATATACTTGGCCATGGATTGTTGTTTTGTCTCAGAAGTTTGTCATTTCCTTTTATCTTAAAACACAGAAACAGTGCCAGTAACAATAATGACAACAGAGGGGCTGCTGGTTGACCTGTGGTGTGGGGGAGTCCTTTGTGAATCAGTCCCTCCAAATTGCACTGATTAACACCCCACCCTGTCCCTCTCCAGGAAAGATGTGGACCCTCCTTCTACTGTAACTCCTGACATTACTTGTTTTAAAAGGATAATGCAACATTGGTTGACGTGTTATTTCTTCAGAGGCCTAACTTTATTAAATATGTACATGCATGTTTGATTCTGCAGCACACGAAGGGCATTCCAACCAAGAAAATCATTATGTTTTCCACTTCACTCTATGTGTATAGACACAGATGAGGTGAAAAAGTCCTCATGCACTTTAAAATGGACTAGAGACCCTCATACCCTTTGGCCCCTATGGCCCTGGCCTTTGTTCCTATGGGGACAGCTTTAGAAATCTAGCCAGCTGGCCAGCAGCAGCTCAGCCCTCCCTGCCCTCCTTCAGAGCATCTGGAATGCAGCAAAGGAATTTATCTATTAGTAATGTCCTGTCTGCTCACAAGCTCTGCGGCACCATAAGCCTAATGGGTGAGACGCAGAGTACTTCCAATAAACTGGAAAATCTGACAGCAGATTGTCAAAGAAACTAGTATTTTTTTTTAATTCTGTCCAGCATTATTGGCAGGGAGGCCAATTAACTAACCCAATAGGTGTTATTTACTCCTGCGAAGTTGAAAAATAGTTACTGCATTAATACGCTCATGGTAAGTGCGGTGTCGATTGGGCATCTATGTAGGGAAGACACTGTTGTTGCAAGGAACCTTCCTAATTTCCTATTAGCATTTATATGGATTGGTTGGAGTAATAAAACACTAAAAACATAATTGGAAAAATTCTTTTCCCACTTCTGGACCTAAAATATCATTGTAACCTCAGGGGGAAAAAGCCCTATGAAAAAGGATTTGCACTCTAAAAACTGTAGCAGAGGAAAAGCTAGCAGCAGGGAAATTTACCTTCTGAGGAGAAATTGTACCTTTTGCTAAGATTTTAGGAATAAGGTGTTTAAGATGAAGGATACCTCCAAGTCATATCTAGATAGTGTCATTTAGAGAGGTGACCAAAGGCTAACCATGTAAACCTTTGGGAAAGTGAACCCTAAGCCAGTGTAGAAACCAAGTGGCCAGTGGACTGTATTCAATAATTGGTACCAGTTTCTGCAGAGCCCTGAGCCTGCGTGCTCCCAAAGCCACAGCACGGAGAAAGACCTGGGGCGATGGGAGGTGATGAGGAGCTGGTCACCAGATGCTAATGACACTTTGCTCTCTCCCACATCCTGGTGGGGGACGAGTTTGTTGGAGGAAGACCATATTTCACCTTTAGAGCCAGCTGCCTTAGGCAAGGCTCTGGGAGTCCTCAGAATGCAAATATCCCAAGAGAGGAATAATATTGTGAGGAGTTAATTTTGGCCAACCATACCTTAACTTGTTTAGGTTTCATTTCTTATCTGGAGAGATTTTTTTCAAGGGGAAGGAAAAGAACCCATGAGGGCCATGGGCGCCTGAGGGGAGAATGCTGGTGTGGAGAAAGTGCATACAAAGCAGGACTGGATGAGCAGGATGTCACAGACCCCTGGGCCACATAGACCTGCTTGGATCTCAGTGCCACTGTTTGCTCAGTTGGATGACCTTGCTCAAGCTTCTGGAATCTTTCTGAGCCCAAGTTTCATCACCTATGAAGTAGGGTTAGCACAACTGACCTTATGGGGTTCTTCATTTGCTCATTCATTTGTTGATTCACTCACTTGACAAATATTTATTGTGCACCTAGTATATCTAGAGAGAGTACTTTAGGTAACGAGAATGCAATCATTAAAAAAAAACAGACCAAATTTCTGCTCTGATTGATATTTTATTGAGGTAAAAGGGGATTTGGAGAATACAAGATTATAGATGTTAGATGGTGATAAGTGATAAGGAGAAACAGCAAGGAATGGGGAGAAGGAGTGTGGAAGGGTAGGAATGTGGATGTAATTTCAGATACTGTTGTCAGGGAAGTTGCTGAAATGATTAGTAAGAATTCCAAGATTTCTACAGTGGAGTGATGACAATGGTGGAAAGGATGGAACCAGACAAACAGGGGATTTATGCAGGGTCTTGCCAGAACTTTAGCCTTTCCTCTGAATGACATGGGAAGCCACTTGAGAGTTTCAAGCAGAGAAATAACATTATCAAATATACCTTTTTAGCCTTCATTAATTTGTAAGAGTCAGAAATAAATGCATACCTAGTAGGTCTCCAAACTAGCAGCAGTAATTCTTTCTGTGATTGACATCCAGGAACTTGGATTCCCTTCTTTCCTTGCCAGTTTCACAATTCTACCCTGGGAAATAAATACACTGTGAGCTGGAGCCTACGGTTAGGCAAGGACCCCTGGAAAGGAGAGCTGTCACTCTCCAAGGTCCTGAAAGAATCTGGATGAGTGGTCAGATTCTCATCCGGCAACTACAACTTACCTTGAAGGTGAAATTCCACTGGATTCTCTTTTATGCAAGAATGAGGAGCTTTTTGTTTTCACAAACATTTATTGAGACTTCCATAGAAGCATCCTGAATTTTGAGGGAGGGATGCATGAGTGTGTGAGTCTGTGGGTAGAAAACTCAAGCATAGAAATACAAGAATTAAGATTGCAACTCACACACATGAATTTTAGGATGCTCATCTCATTTTCTTTCTTGTGGCAATTTCTTTCTTTTTTTCTGTGGCAATTTATTTCTAATACAGAAACATTAAAAACCAAACAAGGATGTCTGCTACAAAATTTCCACTCCAAATGCTTAGCCTCATTCGCTTTTGAGCATTCTCAGGAAGGAGCAATATTTTAGGGAATGAAAATACAAAAACAATTGGATTTCGTTTTCACATAGTAAGATCCAGAATACAGCAATTTGACTCAACGTCACATTTTTAAATGTTTATTTATTTATTTTGAGAGAGAGAAAGCGTGTGTGTGTGTGTGTGTGTGTGTGCGCGCGAGCACGCGCACACACTCAGGAAGGCAGAGAGAGGTAGAGAGAGAATCTCAATGAGGGACTCTATCTCACCAACTGTGAGATGATGACCTCAGCTGAAATTAAGAGTCAGACATTTAATGGACTGAGCCACCCAGGCCTCTTCCCCCTCAAAGTCACATTTCTACACTCAATATTTTCAACTCTTTCTGGCCTGTCAGACAATAACAGGCAAAAAAGAAACATCCAGGTGGCTCCTTTCTGCTCCTCCTCTCTGGACTCATTTCTCTCTGCTAATATTCATGTGGACTCATATGTTAAGGATAGAGGTGGGTTTCATTGTCAATGGAGAATTGTCACCTTACTCCCTCTTTATGGAAGAAAGATTGTCTTCTGGGTGGCCTGACAGCTCCTCTGAGCTTCCTGGGATTGGCAGTGTGGTCCATTCCGCCTCTTCATGAGGGCTGTGCACCCTTTCAACTCTCCCCATCTGGGGTATGAAGTTTTCCTGAGCAGCTGACACTCCGGTTCAGTCTGTTTCTCCCTGGCTAACAAATCCATTCTCCTGCTTGCCCTACAAAAAGTGAGGCAGCTGGCAGGATCCTCTCCTGGAGCACAAAGAGTGGTAGATCCAGCCACGCAGGTGCAAGATGGGATAACAAAGACTCCTACCAGGTCCTGCAGGTGTGTCCAGCTGCTGAGACTTCTGTTCCTGAACTCCGCCCTCCGTGGTGTGGTGTTGAAACTGAATGTGGCCCTTTTGGCTGACACATTCCTGGCTGACCTTTGCCTATCAACTATTAAAGCTCTAGTTGAAGTAAACTTGCAAAAAACCAAACCTAAAGACATCTTTACTAAGTGGGACTCAATGTGTAGTTACAAAAAGATTCCTCCGCAATGATAAACTCCTACTCATCAAGTTTGGGGTTTTGTGCAAAGTGCTTTCCATATACTGTTCCATTTGCACCCTCCATAGCCCTGTGGGAAGACACTGGCATGTCATTATTCCCATATATAGACAAGGAAGCTTAGACTAACCCAGTGATCTTTTTCATGGGGGTCAAGGTCAAGTACCTGGTAATTATGGCAGGTTTGCATTGCCCAGAGTATAATGTCAGGCAAAGAATGGAAGAAAAGGAAGAAAGAAATCAGAGAAGGTATATGTAATTGTTAATTTTATGTGTCAACTTGACAGAGCCCTGGGGTGCGTCTATAATTGGCTAAACTTTATTTCTGGGTGTGTCTGTGAGCTTGTTTCTGGATGACATTAGCACCTGAATCCCCAGACTAAGGAAAACAGATTGCCCTCCCCAAGGTAGATGGGTTTCATCCACACTGTTCAAACCCTGAAAGATTACAAGAGTGAAAAAAAATTCTCTCTCTTTGCCTCATTG